CTCTCAAGGGCACTCCACCTGGTGACCGTTACAATTAGAGTGCACCACCTCTTCCACTGTCTCCTCCTCTAATCTGGCAACCTTTTTAGGGGGCTTACCCTTTGGTGCCCAAAATGACAAAATATCTTTCTGCTTTTTTCCTGACATCTTTGAAAAATACAAATGCAACATTATGACAATGATTAAATATTACCCAGAGCAATCTGCTGTAATACATCCTTAAGGTAACTAGAAAAACTATTAATATTACAGTATAATTTAAAATAAAATGAGTAAATCTTCATTCCTTTCCATACCCACTAACATTTCTCTTAGTTTCAGATAACGTAAGATAGCCAAACTGAGCCTGGTTGCAAAGTAGTTGTAGTAGAGTTTTTGACTGCATCAATAATAATGTACCATGGGCTATATATTAAATGTTCTAGCCTAAAAATGTTAGACGAGCTTCTTCCAACTTACCTTCTTCTCCATCACGACACATGTGTTCACGCGATGTTGTTGGTTACCAAGTAACGAACGTACGGTGGCCGAGTTCCATCCATTTCCGGGTGTTCGCGCTACTGAATGACATGTCATTGTATAGATCAGTGGTGCACGTAGCGTGCATATATGTTGCCTAGTAACGAACGCAATCTGGCGGAGATACGCGCTGGCGGCAGGAAACTTCACTTGAAAGCTTTCAGCCAGGACAACTTGGTTGGCATTGCCTTTTCAGCGTGAGAAATACACAGTGTGGCGTGTGAGCGTGCGAACCGGTCGAATTGCGTGTCCTCACGGCCAATGCGTGAGACTTGAGAACCCTGATCGTATATCTCTAATCAAACTACAACAATAATGGCCGAACGTGAGGAGTTGAACCGACCGTGAACTCATCGACCTGGAGAGCGGGCGGGGTATGACGCATCTCCTTTTTATTTAAAGGGGACGCATTGAAACGGGTCGCTCAAAGATGCACATCAGAAAAGGGGCCTGTGGAGCTATAATAATGAGGAATTCAGACCCAAGCATTGCAGTTATGTTTTATATAGACCACAACGGTATGATTTAGATGTAAAAATGAATTATTTAAAAGCATGATATGTACCCTTTAAAAGAGGAGTAGGAACACAGCTAAGTCAGAACGCCACAGCATTTATGTCTGAGTTTAGTGGTCAATCATCAGCTGTGTAAAGACTCTGGTCGGGTCTGATAAAGGGGGAATTTGCATATCATAATTAATAATTGATAATTAATAATTATTCATACAGATTTGGATCAGACCGGTCTTACATATTAATTTATTAATTTTACCCATATGCATACATGTGCATCCCCGCAATCAAACCACAAATTAATTGTTATTGATTGCAAGGACCACGTTTTACAAGACAGGCAAAATCAATTAGCTCAATTAAGTTATATAGCTTGTGAAAACAAATTCTGTGGCCACTAGAATCTGCCTTCCCTGCTCTATAACCAAATACCCTCTTAAGTATTTGTAGTTCTGTAAAGCGTGTAGCTTTAAATTGACATTTCATTGACCCGTATTGTGAGCAAGACAATCAGTCAAGGTAAGCATATTTTGTATTTAATAAAGTTACTACTTAAGCATTTACTACGTTACAATGATACATGTATTTACAAACATTAAACACAAACTAAGACGACGCAGAGCGTTTAGACAATGCATACGCGTAAGTTGAGTGAGTTGGAGAGAGAGAGAGAGAGAGTGAGATAGAGTGAGTTGTAGAGCAAGTGAGAGAGAGTGTGTTACGTTCCCCAAAACAGTCAGTTAACCTTTCTGAACACCACGAAAACACTTTCTTAATGCTTCTTAGAAGCTCTAAAAGAAGGTATACTTGCAGGGCATATTTGGTCTGTGTGAGTTGCGGGCTCGTTGCTCGGCCTGTTCGGGCCACGTGTCGACTGGAGGTGCTGTCCTGTGCGCATGCGTCACGTGGAGCGCGGCCGCAGCGTGTTTGCGCGGCCCGTCCCGGCTCGTGCATGGCTCCTTTGTTCCGAACGTGGCGTTCGTTGGCCTTCAGCGCGAGTGTTTGAAAGGCTTAAAGTCTTTGAGGTGACGTTACCCGAGGAAATAGTTCGGCAAAGTCCACTTCCTTTCCTGTGAGATGAACTTGGTAGTCCATTTGAGGAAAAGACGAGACTTTTAGACGAACAAAAGAAAAGATCCATGGTCGGATCAGATCTCCCGTGAGGAGATCTCGAAAGCATTACATATTTCTCTGAGGGGGTCAGAGGAAGAAGGGCAGAGGCGGAGCCTGTGCACTCCTTTTATCCCCTTGGCGGAATCCATCCCTTTCCTGTTGGCTTGAGCCAATCGGGGAGATGGACGTAGCTCGCGGGAACTCTTGGTTTATTGTCCTTTGTTCCTCAGCGCGCGCTTCTCGTGGAAGGGGGTGTGTTCAATGAGGGTTTTATAGTAAAACAATTTTGATCTTCATTGGCAGTAAAACAATCAAAAATACCCTTTACTTTACATCTCCATGCATATTCGAGCGTTTCATTCAATAAGCATTCTAGAGATATCAAGGAACATTATGTTATATCAAAGGAATATACACTTATGTTTAAAATGCATGACGAAGGTATTTTTAATTTCTATTTACGCTGTGACCAAACAAAGTTATTTCACTGTGACATGGGGAAGACACATATACATAAAAACCATTGAAAACATTTTGTTGAATGTTTTTAAACACCAAAAGTCCTTCTCTTTGTTCAAAAACATTTCACACATTCCGATGTGTGGGGGAAGGGAAAGGCTTGTGTGTGCGTGTATGTGTTTCAGAAAACCCCTGGGGGTGGATTTGATTCGCCTGGCCAAAATCCTAACAGCTGCAAAGGTGGTAGAATAAAAGAGCTTAGTTTTTTTTTTTTTCGATGAACATTTCTTTAAAGGGAGAGTTCAGCCCTTAATGAAAATTCTGTCATTATTTTCTCACTCTCAAGTTGTTCCAACCCTGTATGAGTTTCTCTCTTCTGTTGAACACAAAATAAGATATTTTAAAGAATGTTGGTAACCAGAAAGTTGACGGCGGCCATTCATTTAAAAAAAAAAAAAACAAGGAAGTCAATGGCTACCATCAACCATCACGTCTGGATACAAACATCCTTCACTCTTCTCGTGTGCATCAAAGAAAGACATTCATACAGGTTTGGAACAACTTAAGGGTTAATAAATGATGACATAATTTTCATTTCATGCTGAACTATCCCTTTAAAGCTGCAGATTCACCTTATGTAGACCTTATTTTCTTTAAATATGACAAAATGGCAGACATGGGGACTTGTGACTTGGTCTCGAGTCGACTCGAGTCGCTATTTTTATGACTTGTGACTTGACTTGACAAAAAATAAAATACTTGAGACTTGACTCGGACTTGGAAGTTAAAGACTCTGGACTTGACTTGACTTGAGACACTGTGAGTTGAATGACTTGAGTGTTAATCACATCATGTTTTCAGTTTGAATATAAAATATATAAATTATGTTAAAAAAAAAATAAAGTTGATCCAGCTGTAGCGCAGGCTGAGAATAGCGCTGTCATGACTGGATCACGAGATCATCAGTCATGCCCTCTCATACCTTACACACTTACATCAGATACCACATCAACATGTCAGCCGGAGGGATACCGAGGGTCGTCGCGTTCGGCTTCAAGAATTTTTTCCAAAAGGATGGCAAAAGAACAGCAATTTGCAAGACATGTAAGATTAAAATCACGGACAGCCAGGCGACAACCTCCAATTTCGTCCGGCATTTGAAGATCCATTCTGCCCAGTAAGTGCTTGTCAATTTGTTAATGTTATCTGGTTAGCTCGTTCGTAGTTAGCTAGCTAATGTAAGTTAAAAGAGAACTCCGGCGCAAAATTACACATTGTTACCTACTCAACCGTTATATGAGATTTGTTTTCATGATTGCCGAATGTAAATATTTGTATCTATAAAAACAGTTTAGCCTATAACGCTAGTATATAGGGCATAGAGTAATGACAAATAAAAATCGCTTGTTAACACTAAAAAGGCTCAAAATAGCCCCACACTAACATAATAAGGGTCCCTACATTCAAACCAAAGCATTGAGACCTTTTTCAGTGTCCATACAGTTTAATAAGAAGATATTTTATACACACAGTTAACTTCGCGAATACAGGAAGAAGCTCAGGGAGTTCAGTTTTCCTGTAGGAACCCCTAGCAATACTGCCCTACAAAGGCAAAGCGCAGTAACTACACATTCGGTCAAAAATGAGTTAAGACTTGTAATGGGCTTAATGACATGTGTTCTGTCTTGTGAAAAAATATCTGGGTTAAATTATGTCCCATTTCGGAGAGACATTACCACATAATCTACCCATAACATGTTTTACTGGCTGGTATAAAAACTTTAAAGACGTTTTTCTCTCCGTTTCTTTGTTTGTGTAGTTACTGCACTTTGCCTTTGTAGCAACCTATAACGTTCCGGAGGGAGGATTTCTACAACTTGCTTGAACAGTTCCATTTTATTCTGAAAACAAATTTTAAACACACACCAGTCAACAATAAATCAGGTTTATATTAATATATTTTCTTAAATGCATTTTAATAATAAAAATAAACTAAAAATGTATTTTTATCAAACTTGACTGGGAGTGATTACTGGGAGTAAGTGAGTAATGTCTTATGCTTTTTGAAAACTTTTTCATAAAACAAGTCAGGACATCATCTCATTTTTGTATACATTTTTATTTCTTTAAATTAGTAAGCTACAGGACATCGTCTTTCAAAACATGAAAAGAGAAAAGTAAATGAATGCGTCATTGTACCCAAATGCACTTCCGAATGCGCCTCTGTCCATTTCAAACCAAACTGATGCCCATAGATGCACGTTTAGAAGAGTTTCAATTGCATGGGAGGGAGTAGCCAGCTAGCTCTCCGTTTTGTTTGACCATCAACAGAAGTGATGTTACCCCGCCATCGCTGATACAATCTTTAACAGTCATGTTTTTGCTTCTGTTTCACAGATATGCAGAGTATGAAAGGGCAAGAAATGCCCACACTGATGCTACACAGCCTGCAATTTCCCAGTTCCTCCAGTCTCGTCCTCAGGAAGCCTATTCAGCTAATCATCCAAGACAGAAGGCCATAACAAATGCCATTCTAAGAGACCTGGTGATAGAATGTAGCATGCCTCTTTCAATCACTGAGAATGGACATTTCCGACACTTCATGTCTGTGGCTGACTCCAAGTACCAGCCTGCCTGTCGTAGGACAATGACTTTAAAGATCGAATCCCTTGTTGCAGAGACTAAAGAGAAAATAAAAGTGCTTCTTGCTAGTGCAGACCATGTATCAGTTACAGTGGATATTTGGTCAGACAGGAGAATGCGTGGCTTCTTGGGAGTCACTGGCCATGTTTTGGCAACATCTGAGGGAGTTCAGCTGAAATCATACTTGCTTGCCTGCAACAGATTCAAAGGATCTCACACAGGAGAACGGATATCAGAAGCCTTTGATTCCATATGTGATGAATATGACATCAGACAAAAACTTGACTTTGTTATATGTGACAATGCTGCCAATATGAAGCGAGCATTTACAGTGTGTTTTCCAAAAGAGCAAGATGGTGAAGTAACTGATGATGACATTCTGGATGATGCAGAGTTGTGGGAAGACCTCTCAAGAGGTGAATGGGAGACTGTGGACCACATGATCAACAGAAGAATACCTAAACGTCAGCAATGCTTTGCCCATACGCTGCAGTTAACTGTTGGTGATGGTCTCAAGGATGCACGGATCATGAACAGTACCTTTGCAAAATGCTCCAAACTGAGCTCTCTCCTGCATACATCCAGCACCTTTAAAGATGCATTTGAAGCAAAGTTTGGGCAGCGAGGGATACCCGCTACTGTGAACACACAGTGGAATTCAACTCTCCGCCAAGTTAAGGCAGTGCTCTCATTCACTCATCAGGAACTGTGCAGTGTTGTTCAGGACACAGGTCACAGTGAGCTGGTCTTCTCAATTAGGGAGTGGAATCAGATGAAGGAGCTTTGTGATGTGCTACAGCCATTTGCTGAGGCCACCGATCTTACGCAGGGAGAGAAGATTGTGACGGTCAGCTCTGTCCTCCCCTGTGTATTGTCACTAAACCACCATTTGGAAAAACTCAAACAACAAGTGCGCTTCCTGGGAAGCATGATCCACAGCCTGCAATGCTCTCTCAAGAAAAGATTCCGGGGGATCTTTGTTAATCTGAAAATGCTATCAGCAGCATCAGGAGAAGAGCTGCCATTTGCTGACCCACTCTACATTAGATCAGCTGTCCTGGACCCAGCTTTCTCCATGATGTGGCTTCAGCATGATGTGCTTGTCACTGATGACATAAAGAATGACATTGTTGACATGGTGAAAGGTGATTTGTTTTAATGCATTATATACAGTTAGGCATGTCACCATTATCAAATTATGGAAATTAAATTCACAACAGTTGTATAAATAATATACCGGTAATACATTTTTAGAGCTGATTTTGCAAGCATATCAAACTGAGCTGTGAAATAATTAATGAGGAAGTTCACTTTCTAACAATCATGGGCTACACTTGCCCTTTAAATTAAATTAACTTTTTTTGTCTTTGTTTTTATTAGATCTGATTCTACGTGAGGTGGGACCTGACGCAACATCCCAGAGTCCTGGATTCCAAGAGGTTGAAAGTGAAAACCAGGAGGAAGAGAGCACTGGCTTATTCTCAGAGTACAGAAAACGCCGCAAGCAGGACACAACCACCAACCCAGAGACACAACTAAATAACTATTTTGGTCTTTGTTGTGGACAGGCTTGTCTGTCCTTCTGGGATGCAAACAGGGGTATCCTCCCTGCACTTTTTCCTGTTGCAATGAGAGCTTTGTCAGTGCCGGCTTCCAGTGCCCCAGTTGAAAGGGTCTTCAGTCATGGTGGGATCATCATGAGGCCACATCGTGCTCGGCTTGCAGACAAGACCCTCTCAAATCTTATTTTTTGCAAGTGCAATACCTTGTAAAAGAGGTAATGACTTATGAGAGTGATTGAAAGAGAGAGAGTGTGTATGTGTGTGTGTGTGTGTGTGTGTGTGAGAGAGAGAGAGAGAGAGAGAGAGAGAGAGAGAGGGGAGAAAGTGTGTGTGTGTGTGTGTGTGTGTGAGAGAGAGAGAGAGAGAGAAAGTGTGTGTGTGTGTGTGTGTGAGAAAGAGAGAGAGAGAGAGAAAGTGTGTGTGTGTGTGTGTGTGTGTGTGTGTGTGTGTGAGAGAGAGAGAGGGGAGAAATGTAACAAAGTTTAATATTGTTCGTAAACTGTGTTTGAGAGAGAGGGAGGTGTTCAGAGAGGAGTCTGTAGGATGTTAAGCTGTTATTTGTTTTATGGACTCAATGTTGAAAATTTAAAACATTTCAAACACTGTTGGCAGAAGTGAAAAATAAATAATTTTATGAAGTTACAATTTTGTTTGATTCCATGATGTATTTTACTGAACATGAGTATTTACAATGCAAATCCAAATTATTGTAATTTACTGGCAAATACTTATCTTGTCTTTTCACTTTATTAAGATCAGATTCTGCATGTAAAATTACAATAATAATGTGACTTGACTTGCACTTGACTTGACCTACTACAAGACTTGACTTGACTTGACTTGACATAGCCTGTGACTTGACTTGACTTGACTTGCCCCCCAAAAAAATACTTGGGACTTACTTGAGACTTGACGGTTAAGACTTGAGACTTACTTGAGACTTGCACATGTGTGACTTGGTCCCATCTCTGGCTGTCAGATCCAAATATGGTCATTTTCTTTTATCAGCAACCAATCGTGAAAGTAAAAGGGGGGATTTAACTCTAAATGCGCGATCTCATTGGCTGATGCTAAATCTTTAAGGCCAGTTTTCTCATCCTCAAAGTCTGAAATCTCCACTTCAGTAGCACCTATAGAGTCCCGAAGTGATGACGTCACTTAGTAGGACAACCCGGAAGCTAGTGGCGCATGGGTTCCCTCGGTCGAAAAGCAATGCATTTTCCCCATAGACTTTTGAAAAATCGCAAAAAATAAGATCTGTGTTTAACAAAGGGTTATGGCCCTTACACGTTTTGTCTAGCAAGATAATCTTTACAAGTTAATCCAAAATTTATACATTTTGAAGCCTATATAAATATTTTAAAAAACACAATCAGACACAATAAAGTTTAAAAAACCACAAGCAGGTTATAACTGTGTGTTCTATGTCATAGATCAAAACGTGAAAATATTTAGAGGCTCTGTTCACCACAGACCTTATTTCAGGCGATTTAGCAAAAACCCATTCAAAAATCCCATAGGCTTTAGAGTGAGGGAACCGTAATGCTAAAATGCTAACTCATTTGCGCGTTTTGGCCCAGAGAGTGACGTCGTAACTTCGGCACTCTATAGAGAGCCTAAGTCCCGCCCCTCCGCTTCCGGCTCATGGGACCTTATTTCGGAAAAAATATGAATGGTGGTCAATGGAGAGAGACAACGTATCTTTTTATTCCGTCTGAACTGTGCCCTCAATTACACATATGATGTTTGTCAATTTAAAAGATAATTCTGAAAGTCAAAAACGTCGCAGACTCTTCTGTTTGTCATAAAACAGAAGAGTAACATTTAGTTTTATGTGAAAATCGCTCAATGAACTACATCTCCCGGGAAGCGAAACGAGATCCGCTGCTCGTGTATGTGCAGTCTGGTACAAAACACTCAGGTAGGACGGCATAACGTTACGATTATAACGTAAGACTGTAGAAACAATGACAAACAGCCTCAGTAAAGTTAGCTTCATTCATTGAGAGAAAATGTGCGCCTTTGGGGTTTGTAGTCTTTGTAATTACGTATTTTCACAGTCTTATACCTCAACGGTTTCATATCAAACTGCGACTTTCTTTACTTTAAAATGTATCTTTTAAATTGACAAACATCATATGTGTAATTCAGGGCACAATTCAAACGAGATCAATATATTTGTTGTCTCTCGCCATTGACTACCATTCAATATTTTTCCGAAATAAGGTCCCATGGTGGTCGACCGGAAGGGGAGGGACTTAGGCTCTCTATTGAGAGTGAGGAGACACGTGCCGATTTGGGCGGGGTCTGAGCCGGTCGGCCATGAGGGTTGGAGACGCTATCGGTTGCCAGGGGCGACGCCTTCAGAACTTCATAGAGAGACAGCGCAGCATGTTTACATTTTAGCGATATACACCACGGCAGTTTCTTTGGAAGATATAGGGGGAAGAAGGTAGAGAAATGAAAGGGGTTCTATCGGGAGAGACTAAATATCAATGCTAGCCAGTTTTATTTAGAAAAACTGCTTGTCAATAAACTGACAGTAGCAACAGGAGCAAAGAATGATTTCAAAAGGAACATTTCAGCACAGTTCATATTTTATTTAACACAGACGAACTAAATTAATAGCTACTCTGTTATTCAACAACTATAGTTGTTTAATTTGTTATACGTAGATATATCTGTACTGTGAAATGTTTTAAAAAGATTTTTTTAATGACGTACGACTCGCATTGACGAGAATGTCCGATATGTTCGCTTGACGTTGCACTGCCGGTTGCAAATGCACGTATCTGATGATTCATGTCAGATGTATTTCCACATATGAATGAGGCCTGAAACATCAAGTATGACTGAACTCCCGCAGTTTAATGTTACAGGTTTGGGGGTTTCTAAGTCTTGCACCCAGCCGCGGCTGAATTGTTCATAAGCTTCTGAACTCTTCCTTTGCATTGTGTAGGCAGTAACGTTAGGCACTGATACCATAAACCAGGTAATAGACCTTATTCAGAGCAGCGCCATGACAGGTATGAAAGTGAGGCTGTGAGGGATAGACTTACCGTGTTTCCAATGGCATCCGCTGTAAAAAGCTGAATAAAGCGGCTAGATTACTTACAGTTTTCCACAGCGTATATTGTCGGGAGTTTTTTGTCAACTGACATTTCTTGGAAAGATATTTTTCCAGTGTTTCATGAGCAGAACAATCCGAAAACACATTAAATAACAGTACAGCCCATTGAAGAGATGCAAGTCTATCCCTCACAGCCTCGCTTTCATTCTCATTAAAAATCAAAGATGGCGCTGCTGTGAATAAGGCATTTTGACTCTGTCAGGGTATGTGAAAGGTGGAAGTGCTTCGGGTCTTTCGTCCATTCTCAAGGTCGGACATCCGAGACTTTTACTCCCTGTGTGCGCATAGCAACGCGGCGAAGGGTAAAACAAACAAGCCCCCGCCATTATGCTACACAAAAGCGGAAGATAAATAAGCGTCTAAAATGAATCTAAATAGAAATGTAATCTCAAATGAATGGACAAATTGAGGGACAAATCAAAGAATAACAAAATAATACCACTGCAGGGATGGCCACTCAATTTTCTGCTATGTTATGACATTGCTATGCATAATAGAGTGCCGAAGTTACGACGTCACTCTGTAGGCCAAAACGCGAAAGTGAGTTAGCATTTTAGCATTACGGTTCCCTGTGTTGTAGTACTCGTCTCGGACTCGGTCTCGAGACCATATTTTAATGGTCTTGGTCTTGTCATGGACTTCTGTGCATTTGGACTCGGAATTGACTCGTACTCGAACATTTTTTTTTTTTTGGACTCGGACTCATTCCCGAGTCCACTCGAGTTCAATTCAAAATATTTTTTTATAAAATTAATGTATGTTAATAAAATATTTCTTTAAATTGATTGACACGCCCAGTGATTGGTGATTTACTAGTGTGCAATTGCGCATGACTTGCGATTAGTTAGCGCGCAAACTTAAAGGCGGCAAGATTCCGGTCAGGTTAGGAGGATGTCATGTCATGAGCCTCGCTCTTGCAATGTGTGAATGAAAATGTCTGCTAAATCGACCATTATTCAGTTTGCCTTTAAAGGACACGAAGAATTCACATGCAGTTCAACTTTTAAAAGGAAACACTCTGCAACATGTATATTCTGCGGTACTACAATAACAGAAGCAAAGGGAACGACGTCCAATTTCCACCGTCACGTGGAGCGAAAGCACAAAGAAAGGTAAGATTAAGAACTCATAATTTCTGTATATGCATAAAATGTATGTACCATTTATACAGTTAATGCTAGATTGGTGTAGAAGTCAAGTCAAGTCAAGTCACATTTATTTATATAGCGCTTTTCACAATACAGATTGTATCAAAGCAGCTTCACACTGATAACATGAAAGTAGCACAACACAGATCAACAACATTGCTAAACACTAAATAACCCCAACTGAGCAAGCTCAAAGCAAGCCAAAAGCAAGGCGACAGTGGCAAGGAACCAAACTCCATCAGATTGGATGGAGAAAAAACCTTGGGAGAACCCAGGCTCAGTCGGGGGCCAGTTCTCCTCTGGCTTACATTCATATTGTTTAAATATAAATATTAAATATAAATATTGTTTATGAATAAAACGGCGCCATAACATATCGCAGGCGTTGAGTCGTCTCTTCACAGGCGTTGAGTCGTCTCATCACAGGCGTTGGGGCATCCGAAATCCCCGTGAGAGGCTGGACACAAAACTGGACCTGACGAACGCCATTTTTCTCGGGACAAGCGTCTCGAGATAACAGCAGAAAGGCAGATGGGAAATAATTAGCATAGCTGATGTTCATAATGATTTCCGTTATAACTCACAAACTCTCCGTAACCTGAACTCTCCGCAACCCAACCATACGCGCCGACCCGTTTGTCTAAAAGGCTGTCGAGCCCCACTGGTGCGTTAAGCAGTTTCAGTGGCAAACGGTTCCGTATGGCATAACAGAGGACTAGAAGGTAAGCATTATGTGTATGCTTGACTAAAGAGAAGCGTCTTTAATCTAGTTTTAAACTGTGTCAGCGAGTCAGAGGCTCGGACCGTATCGGGAAGGCCATTCCAGAGTTTTGGAGCTAAATGCGAGAACGCCCTCCCTCCTTTACTGGACTTCGATATCCTAGGAATGACCAGAAGCCTTGAATTTAGTGATCTTAAGGAACGCTGTGGAT